AGAGAGGGAGAGAATAAGAGGTTTTATTTCCTGTAAGGTACCTAGTATGCTGTAGTTGGTGAGTTTAGACAAATTTCCTTCCTTCTCTTCCTCTTTGTCATGAGGTTCATAGCTCTTACATTTTTTACACCATCTACTTGCCTTTGGATGTCACAAGTGTCTAAAAATTAATCTCCCACCGAATCATGGTTTACAGAGCAACAGGCGGCTGGAGGAATGGGCAACAAAAAGGGATAAACCTTATTTCAATCCATTAAAAATTTTATCAAATATCTCCTACATGCTGGAGATATAGGGCCTGGCACACAGTATTGTTCAAAAAATATTTGTCGAGTTAATGAGCAAGATTCCTGCCACAATGGATTTTACACACTGGTGGAGAAGACAGACAGACAATTAAAATACAGTGTGTAAGTACAATGTTCTGTGGGAGCATAGAGGAGGGGTAACTTACCTTCTCTGAAGCACCCAAGGATAGCATCCTAAATGGGAAGACATCTAATCTAAAATCTAGGGGATAAGTAGGAGTTAAATGGGAGAGGTGGTGAGTATGCGGTGGGAGGCATCAGGAAGGGAAAGGTACAGAGGCAAAAATTCTCATGACATGGGTAAGAAATAATTTAGATATCCAGGGGTTCCTGTTGAGGATTCAAGAATGAAAAAAGTTTTAAAGTCAGTTTGAAACCAAATTAAGGAGATCCTTGATTGCCCAATTAAAGAATGAGTGCTTCATCTTGAAGGCAATAAGGCATGATCACTTATTTTTGAGTAGGGCACTAACTGTTGCATACAATGTTCTAGGAATCATGGGTCAAGCTGGAAGGGACAATGTAAGAGGTGGAGTGGGGAATGTGAAGGCTCTTGTAGTGTGAGCTGATGAGGAACTGAACTAAGATAGTGAGGCTGAGAATGGGAAGAAGTGGTGGTAAATGAATGAAGGAAATGTTAATAAGGAAGAATCAATAGGATTTTGTAACTGACCAAAGAGGAAAAGGGAAATGATCCCTCTAAGAGACGCTCATTAAGTACCTGGGCTTCATCAGCTGGTTTGACTTGTCATGGTTCTCAAAATTGATTTTGCATCAGAATCCCCAGGAGGACTTATTAAAACACACATAGTTGTGCCCAGTCCATGAGTTTCTAATTCAGTAGGTCTGCAATGGGACCTGAGACTTTGCATTTCTAACAAGTTCCCAGGTGATACCAATGCTACTTACTGCTCTGGGGACCACATTTTTAGAACCACTGAACTGTGGAATACATCATATATTTTGCAGAAAACAGACCATCAGGATCATGTTTTAGTCTTTTCAACAAATGTTGCTGGAACATCTAGTTAGCCACATGCAAAAGAATGAAAATAGACCCTTACCTCACACCATATACAACAATAAACTCAAAATGGATAAAGGATCTAAATGTAAGAGCTGAAACTATAAACACCTTAGGAAAAAACCTAGGTTAAATTTTCATGACCTCAGATTTGGCAAAGCACTCTTAGATATGACACCAAAAGCACAAGAAACCAAAGGAAAAAATAGATAAATTGAACTTAGTCAAAATTAGAATTTTTGTACTTCAAAAGACACTATCAAGAAAATGAAAAGACAACCTATAGAATGAGAGATCATATTTGCAAATCATGTCTGTTTAGAAACTTGTATTTAGAATATATAAAGAACTCTTACAACTCAATAATAAAAAGACCAATGACCTAATTTTAAAATGGGAAAAGGATCTAAATAGATATTTCTTCAAAGAGGTATACAAATGACCAATAAGCACATGGAAGGATGCTCAGAGAACAGAGTCATGGTTACCAGAGGGAAAAGGCTGGGGAGAGGTGGGAGGGCAAAATGAGTAAAGAGAACCAATGGTATGATAAAGGATGGAAACTAAATTTTTGTTGGTGAGCATGCTATAGTGTATACAGATGTACAAATATAATGTTGTACACAAGAAACATATAATGTTATAAACCAGTGTTACCTTAATAAAAATAAATTAGAAAGAATGAAAGAAAGAAAGGGAAGGAAAGAGAAAGGAAGGAGGGGAGGAAGGGAGGAAGATGCTCAACATCATTAGTCACCAAGGAAATGCAAATCAAAACGGCAACAAGATACCACGGCACACCTATAGGATGGCTAGAATCAAAACGTCAGACAATGACAAATGCTGCAGAGGAAGAGGTGAAATTAAAACACTTAAACACTGCTGGTTGAAATGTAAAACGGTGCAGCCACTTTGGAAAACAGTCTGTCAGTTTCTTAAATAGTTAAACCTAGAATGACCATATGGCAATTCTACTCATATATATATATATAGAATATATGTGTGTGTGTGTGTGTGTGTGTGTATACATACCCAAGAGAAATGAAAGCATATATATCCACACAAAAACTTGTATGTTTATAACAGCATTACTCATAATAGTGAAAAAGGTAGAAACAATCCAAATATCCATTAACTGATGAATGGATAAACCGAATGTGATATAGCAATACGATAGAATATCATTCAGCTACAAAAAGAAAAGAAATACTGACACGTGCTACCACATGGATGAGCCTTGAAAACATTATGCTAAGTGAAGGAAGCCAGTCACAAAAGACCACATATTATATGATTCTGATTACACAAAATGCCCAGAACAGGCAAACCCATAGAGATGTAGATTAGTGGTTGCTTAGGGGTAGGGGTGGGTGGGGGTACAAGGGGACAGCAGCTATAAAGTTTCTTTCTGAGGGGATGAAAATGTTCTAAAACCCGTGGTGATGGTTGTACAACTCTGAATATAGCAAATACCATTTTAATTGTATAATTTAAATGGGTGAACTATATGGTGTGCAAATTATATCTCAATAAAGAAGTTTTTTTTTTAAAAAAAAAAGAATGCTCACAAGAAATCCATGGGAGGGAGGAAATGAAGAGAGGGAAAAGCCTTCTGGGCAGAGGTAATATCATAAACAGAGGCACATAGGAAAGAAATATCACACGTGTACAATAATATAAGTAGTTTAGTCAGTTCATCGCTATTTAACTTTATGTTTCAGGCACTGTTCTAGGCACTGGGATATGCAGTGAACAAAACCGAGAAAAATTCTTGTCCTCATGGAGCTTACATTCTAATGGGAAATATATTAAACAAAATGTCTATTTAGAAGAGGATAAGTGCTATTGAGAACAAAAAAATGAAACAGGTAAGAGGGACTGAAGGTGTTGTATTGTGGAGGAGGGGTGTTAAAATTTTATAGAGAGTATCCTCACTGCAGAAGCAGCTCTTGAGTAAAATACTCGAAGAAAGGAAAGGAGCTGTGTGCATCGGGGGAAAGAATTTTCCAGACAGACGGTGCAGCAAGTACAAAGGCTGGTACCAGAGTGTACCTATCATTCGGGGGGAGTCAGATCATGCCAGGCCTTCTAGACCATCATAAGGACCTTGAATTTACACTGAGTGAAGTGGGAAACCACTGGAGGGTTTTGCGACTGTAACAGCATCACTCTGGTTACTGTGTTGAAAAGACACCGAATGGGGGGTACGTGCAGCAGCAGCAAGAGCAGTTAGGAGAACATAGCAATAACCAAGGAAAGTGTAAATGGTAGTTTGGACCAGGTTCGTTGCAGTGGGGGTGGGAGGAAGTGTGGTAAGAAATCCCTATGGGACCTTCTTAGGACAGACCCCTTCCCCATCCTCTGCTGTAGCTCCTCTCGAAAGTACCCAGATCATAGTCTCTGCTGCACATGTCCTGAGTGGTTTTGCAGATGCTAAAATTCCCAACAAAGGGAAGAAATTAACTACTTGATGACCATGAGCACGTACCCCTCAGACCTACTGGTGCCTCAGGATTGATAGTGTTAATCCCTGTGACACCGCACTGTTACTTCACCATCAACCAATCAGAGAATTGTGCACGAGCTGATCACATAGCCTGCAACTCCCCTCCCTCGTCTTGCCTTTAAAAATGATTTGGTTTCGTGGACCCAAATTTGGTTTGCTAACAGAAGTGATCAAATTTTAGATATATTATGAAGGTAGGATCTTCAGTATCTCCAGTTGGATTGGATATGACAGGGGAGAAACAGAAGACACAAGGACAACTGCAAGGGTTTGGTCTGAACAGCTGGAAGCTAAAATTGCCATTTACTGAGGTTTTGAAGACCATTGAGAGGCATGGGTTCCTTCCTTCCTTCCTTTCTTCCTTCCTTCCTTCCTTCCTTCCTTTCTTTCTTTTTTGAGGAGAAGTGGTTGTCAAGGTTCGGTGTTGGGCATGTTAAATCTGAGATGTCTGAATACATACAAGTAGAGCTATAGAGTAAGAATGAACGAGAGCTGAGGGGAGGGGATTGGAAATTTCGGAGTCTGCAGTATAAAAGATGGTACTTAAAGCCCTGAGACTGGGTGCAAATTTACTAAAACCATGATAAGTTTAGATGTGCTAGACCATAAAGGCTGTGAAGGTGGGAGATGTACTTGGAAGGTAAGCAGAGACAAGATTTTAGAAGACCTTTTATTCTATGGATGTGAATTTGCACTTTACCTTGATAGGGAGTTGCTGAAATCAGCAGAAAGATGTAGTCAGACTTGCTTCATGTCACTGGTGGTGTGCGAAGAAAGGATTAGAGAGACATACAAACTAGGAAGTTATTACAGTTTAGGAAAAAGTTGTCACACAAATGTTTCTCAAATCTCTCTAGACACCAGACCAGACATAGGATGGGACAAATCCCTCGGCTAATCAAAGCGAACTTTTAAGTTAATTCTGTTCATCTTGTCCACATGGGAAGAGCATTCAGTGTATTAATTAACACAAGGGCTGTGGTCAGCTTGAACATTAGATTTCTCCATGTAAAATAATTCATTGCTTAGATTCTGAGAATTGGTTCACAAGAGTGGACTCCCCCATCCACCCTCACCTCCAAATTTTAATCCCTCAGCTTTCCAGGTGCCACAAAATTGAGTTCCAGGCCATTCATTCAACGCTGAAGAGCAAACTGACTTACGATTTCTTGAGCCACTGTGATTTCCTCAGGTGCCCACTTCGAGCAGCCTCCATCCAGTCTCTCTTCCACCCAGGTCACAGCAACGAGGAATTGTGTTGTGTCTCCTTTTCTAAAATCCAGGAAAGGTATTTTATTTTTACTGTTATAACAACTTTGAAAATAAAGAAAAAAAAGTGGGCATTTCTAATTTAATCTTTTGCTGACACCTAGTGCTGGAACTCTGCATATTCAACTAGCTGCTCCAAATAAGAAAAAAACAAAAAACAAAAAATGGAATTGTACATTGCCGTGAGCTCAGCAATAACAAAGATCTATTCTGACAAAAAAAATCTATCTAGACATCATTTCTCATATGTATATACCAAGCCTGTTAAAAGGTTCAGACACTAGTCTTTTAAATGACTAAGAATTCAACTTTAAGGAGACTTTTTTTTCCTAGTCTTAATTTTGGTTTACTGCTGGGGGAATTTCTGAGAGCATATGAAGGCCCAAGTGGGTCCGAACTGCACTTTCTGAAAGTTGTGAACACTTAGGATAAATTCCCCTTGGAAGTTGAGTCAGATGGGACTGGAATCCACAATATTTTCATAACCATACTTTTCAACTGTTGAAGAATTCTCAACTTCACATTCAGGGTTTATACTAAACAGCCCAAATTTAGCCTTGCATGTAATTATTGTAAATTACCATTTATAAAAAAGGAATGAATTAGTAAATGGGAGGGGGAAAATTACTTCTCTTTCTCCCAGGTTTATTGAGATATAATTAACATATAATATTGTGTAAGTTTAAGGTAAGCTCTGTGACGATTCTGTCCATGTATATATTGTGGAATGATTACCACAATAAGCTTACTTTACACATCTTTCACCTCATATAGCTACTTTATTTGTGTGTGTGTGGTGAGAACCTTTTAAGACTTTCTTAGCACCTTTCTAGTATACAACACACTATTGTTAACTGCAGTCACCATGGTGTACATTACATCCCCAGAATTTATTCATCTTATAACTGGAACTTTGAACCCTTGACTACATTTACCCGTTTCCCCTACCCTCCCCTGCTGCTTGCAACCACCACTTTACTGTTTCTATGAGTTTGTTTTTTTAAGATTCTACATGTAAGTGGGATCATACCATGTTTATCTTTCTCTGATTCATTTCACCTAGCATAATGCCCTCTAGGTTTATTCATGTTGCCACAAAAGTCAGGCTTTCCTTCTTTTTTCTTTATTCTTTTCCATTATAGTTTATTACAAGATATTGAATACAGTCGTGCTCACTTTGGCAGCACATATACTAGGATACTGAATACAGTTCCCTGTGCTATACAATAGGAAGGATTTCCATTTTTATGGCTGAAAAATATTTTATATATTTTATATATATATATATATATATATATAAATACTATATGTATATCACATTTTATTGTCTCCATTCACCTGTCAATAGACACTTAGGTTGTTTCCCTGTCTTGGCTATTATAAATAATGCTGCAATGAATATGGGGCTACAGATCTCTCTCTCAGATAGTGATTTCATTTCCTTTGAATATATACCCAGAAGTGGGATTGCTGGATCAGATGGTAGTTCTGTTTTTAATTACTTGAAGAATCTCCCTATTATTTTCCATAGTGGTGAGCCAGTTTCCACCAAGGGTGCACCAGAGTCTCTTTTCTCCACACCCTCATCAACACTTGTTATTTCTTGTCTTTTTGACAATAGTCAAAAAATGACTTCTTCTATTATGCAATAATTTTGAGGAAATAGGCATTATTTGCATATACATCATTAAAAATTGCATTTGAACTATTGTCTGGTAACTAAGTCATGTAGACAGTAGAAGCATTCAGGAGAATTACATTTGTGTTTGGAAGTGTTGCAGCTACAGAGGCAAAGCAAGAAATTCAAAATGTAAGTTTTGTAAAAACGAATGTACCAGTTTTCCACTTAAATCTGCATCTGCAAGCTGTGTGAGCTTAGGTAAGTTACTCAACCTCTCTGAGCCTTAGTTCTCTCCTCTTTAAACTACGGATGATGATAATAGTACTTGCTGTAGGTTGCTGTGAGGATCAAAATATTCCACAAAGTTCCTGACACATACCAAGGGCCCAATAAACAAGAACTGTTATTTGTAATAACAGTATTAAAAATAATTAGGGGGGAGGGCATAACTCAGTGGTAGAGTGCATGCTTAGTATGCATGAGGTCCTGGGTTCAATCCCCAGTCCCTCCATTAAATAAACAAACAGACAACAAACAAACCTAATTACCCCCCCAATAAATAAACAAAAATTTAAAAATAATAATAATTAAACTTACTCCTTGCCTCTTCCCATGGAGTTGAATATGATCCCAGGGGCAAGAAAAGGAGGTTCCCTGTTGTAAATGCTCCAAGGCATTGTGGAAGGTAATTGTTACAACCTGGCCATCAATAGGAAGCGCCCACAGACCCAAGGTCAAGTGGCCCCTGGCAGGCCCTGGAGGCACGTTCTCAGAGGGGGTAGGAAATCAGTAGGGACAGCCAGCCTTGCTCACATTCAGAGAAACAGAAGGATAAACCCCAAATCTTTAACATCATCTTACCACCGATTCACTGCTCCATACTCCAAAGAAACAGAACTGCTTGCTCTGAAACAAGGTGGTTAATATAGTGTAGGCTCTGGGGTAAGACTGACCTGATTTTGAATTCAAGCTGTGCCACTGACAAGCTGTGTGACTCTATACAAGTTACTTAACTTCTCTGAGCCTTAATCCATTCATTGTAAAATTGGGAATAATAATAGTAGCACTGAACTCTTCGGGCTACTGCAAGAATTAAATGAAATGATGTAAATCACTTTTCATAATGCCTGGCATACAGTCTGTAATCAATAAATCACTATCAGTATACCATTAAATCATCCAACTTGCCACTACAACAAATATGGCCTTGCTGTTTAAACTAGCCTGGTCGTCACAAATGAGTTGTAATAACCCGAGAAGTATGTCTTCCATCTCTTAGCTTTCTAAAGTTCAGACCTAAGCATTATCACCATTTATTAAACACGTACCACATACCAGGGACTCAGCTACTTTTTCTTACTTAGTCTTCACACCTAAAGAAGGTAGATGCTGTTTTTCCCTTTCCGTATGAGGAAAGGGAGACTCAAAGAAGGTTAAGTAACTTGCCCCAGGTCATACAAGCATCACAGGCAATATTTGAACCTGGGGCTAGATGCTAACTTCCCTACTCTTGCTCTGTAAAACCACCATCCATGACTTCCTACAGCCTTCAGGGCAAAAGTCAAGCCCCTCAGTTTACTACAGAAGGCTTTTCTTAATCCGTGTCTAGCCCCTACTAGCCCCTCCGGCCTCCATGCCTAGAGCCCAATCACCCTCCAAAAAACCTTCCCTGATGCCCTTCAGGAGTCTTCCAGAATAGCCTGGCCATATCTCTATTATGGCACTTGCCACGCTATAATGTAAATATTGATTTCATTGTGTGTTCCTCAAAGGGCCATGAACTCTTTAGGGCAGTGTCTCATCCGTCTTTCTATGCCCACTACCTAGCAGAGTGCTTGGCATAGCGTAGGAATTCAACCAATGTGTGTTGTGTGAGCGAGTGAATAAATGAATGAGTGGATAGATCAATGAATACTGAGCAGGGAATGTCTGAGTATCAAGTCCTACCAGTTTTTAGAACAGTGGTGCTTCCAGTGTGGTCCCCCGGAGCAGCAGCGGCGGCAGCGGCAGCATCTGAGAATTTCGAAGTGCAAGTCATTGGCCCCGCCCCAGAATCAGAAACTCCAGCGCTGGGACCCGCCCAGCTGTAGTTTACCACCCCCTCCAGGTGATTCAGATGCAGGTAAATGAAGAGTAAGGTCATACAGCAGATGAAAATTGCCAGGAAACATGCAGATATAAACAATCACAAAAGATTATGGTTACTATTAAAACTAACTCCTTAAATTAATTTGGCACTTAATAAATTACAAAAGGCTTTCCTAACTACTGTCTTTGACATTAAGAATGAAATGGAGAAGGAAAATGATTAAGGAGTTCAGATCCGTTTTAGGTACATACCTATGTAGTACGTCCCTGAGTTCCAAGGAACTAAGTCTCTCAGCGGTCACGTCCGGAAAATAAGTTTTGCGTCTCTGTAGGAGTGTTTGCTTGACCAGGCTGGGGAAGTGGCCTCTGGTAAGCAGCCCTTCTGGCGAAATCCCATAGGTTGGATGAAGGATTCCAGGTGAGCAAGGTTGAATGAGATTACATACTAATTGAGGTTACAGGAAAGTTAAAGCTACGGGGACTGACGGGGACGAACGGGGACGGGGCGGGGGGGGATGTATACACAGGCTATGAGGGGTACATGAGTATTTTTAATACTTTACAAAGTTTCAGTAAGTGAAAGAAGCAGCTTGCAAAATTATATGATCCCATTCTTAGTTTAAAAACTATTTTATTCACTCTCAGAAAAAATTCGTGAAAGGCATTATAATGGTGATTTTCTCCAGGTAGTAGGATTACCCCTTTAAATTTTTTTTCCAAAATGTTTTTTCAAAAATTTTCCCCAGAAAACAATTTTTATATTGAGAAAAAGATAATAAAAGGTATAAAATTGGTTCTGTGTACCCAGAGGGAGCTGACATACAGAACTAACAGCTGGTGTAGTTGGAGGCAGGATTTGAAAAAGAAGATTGGAATCTTCAAAGCTGGAAAGAACCCAGGACAATCTGATATTGAGGGGCCTCCCTAAAGCACTGAAATAAGAGGAGATGCTCAGCTGAAGATTTCCATAGGCAAAGACTTAGGACACTACAGACTCAGCTTTCTGCTAACTCAAACGAGACTTCAGCAAAAGAGAAGGCAGGCACCTGGGATGTGGATAGATCATGGCTTGGGTTTCCCCCCACCCAGGATCTGGAAGGTGAGAGGGCTTACTTGGAAATGAGGGAAGGAAGTGAAAATTATCCAGAATAGTTCATGGCTTTAGGGATCACAACAGAAGGAGGTATAAACAGGAAGGGAGGAATAAGAGAAGTGAACAATTGGTGCCTGAAGCAAACTGTATAGCACTTTAAACTTGTGCCGAGCTAATAATTGTGAAACATGAAATTATGTACCTGTAACTTACATATTCTGCATATATTTTATAACCTAAGGTTTCTTCCTGCTATGGTAAAAATCAGCTGTGTTCTTGAAAATGATTGCTCGAGCAACTGTTACTTTGGAGTGGAGGTTGATACAGAATTAAAGCAAAAGTTCTAAACCTCAAGGGCACACTCTCTGGAGATGTGACCCCTCCCCCCAGCTGCGAGCCTTGAGTGTGGAAAGTTATTATTTGAGCAGTTTACATTTATTGAGCAGTCAGTGTTTGGAAAGCTAAGTGCTTTGAATGGATTGTCTCATTTATTCTTCAAAGGAGCCCTGTGAGTTAGATCCTGCTATTATGCCCAACTTTACAAATGAGGGAATGGAGACCTAGCTGGCAAAGGGCAATGTTAGGACTGTCTGACTCTGATGCCTGAATTCCTTCTATAACACCAGCCTGCATTTGTTAGTCCTGAAAATACCCTAAAGCAAGTTAACAACAGCTATAAAATACCACAATTAGTAATGCTCACAGTGAGGTTATAAAGAAACAGATACCTTTCTGCATTGGTCAGACTACTTTAGTAGGAAATGTGAATTGGTGTGATCTTTTTGAAGGACAATGTGGCAATATTGACGAGAAGAATGTTAATGTAAATGTAAGTACCTTCTGCTTCAATTATGGAGCTACTGGAAATTCACCCAAAAGGTTAGCTGGCAAAGAGTATGTGCAAAATGTTCAGTGCAGAGAACTAGAAGCAACCAGTGTCCTTCAACAGAGAACTGGTTAACTCACTCAGGGTTCAGCCATTTTAAAAAAATGAAATAGGTCTGTATGTTCTTAAGTGGAAAAATCACTAAGATTTAGTAAGTGTAAAAAACAAGGTGCAGAATGGTGTGTGTAGTAAGATTACTTTTGTAGTAATTTTAAAAATACATATAGAAGATGGATTGATAGATATAATAGCATATAAACATTTTTCCCCTGAAAGGAAACACAAGAAGCTTTTAACAATAAATATGGTGGGGAGGGTGGTAAGTGCGTGCTTAGCATGCACAAAGTCCTGGGTTCAATCCCCAGTACCTCTGTTAAGAAATAAATAAGTAAATAAATAAACCTAATTACACCTCCCCAATTTAAAAAAAATAACTACTTTTGTGAAGAATAACTGAGTTATTATTTTTGTGCCATTTGGAGATATTTGGGCTTTTTAAGTTGCTTTTTCCTCCATGCTCTCTTATTTTTTTTAAATAACACTTTATTGAATCTTTAAAATAAAAACCGAATAGCCAGCATTTATTGAAGGTTCATCGTGAGCAAGGGAGTGTGCTAAGCATTTTACATGTAACAATTCATTATATTCTCACATTAAAGGATTAGCTCCATTTTCCAGGTGAGGCGTTTCAGACTCTGGTGAAATCACTTGCGTGAGGTCCCACAGCTAAGTAGGGAAGCTGCCGATGAAATGCCAGGCTGTGCTCTTCCATTGGTCTTCATACCCTCCTTGCCTAATAAAAGTAAACTAGCGAACAACTGGAGTCTAATGAGATAATGTATGTGAAAATACTTTTCTAAGTATAGAGATGTTTGGGGAGAACGGGACGGGCAGGGGGAGGGAGTTTAAATCTGGCAGATCTGTCTACTGACCCCTCGACAGTCAGGATATTGTTTTTTTTTTTTGAAGAAATGATGATCAACACATTTTTTTTCTCCTTTACACATATTATAACATATTTATTCATTTTTTCCAATAATATCTGATCATTGTTTAAAAATTAAAATGATGTGGAGAAATGAAAGGCCTTTCATAATACCCTTCACTGATAATGACTTTGCTTCAGATTTTAATGGCTATATAACTATTGCACACATTCCCACATATTTTATGTGAATGGGAGCAACTATATATTTGTTTAGTACCTTGATTTTTTCCATCCTTACAATATATCTTGCCCATCTTTTCATATCAGCACTTACAAATCTACTTTTCTCTTTTTAATAGCTGCATGGTACCCTATAATGTGAATGTGTGTGTACACATTATTTTTTAAATCATCTATGGAAGGACGTTTAAGCTACAACCAATTGTTTGCTTTCCTAAATGCTGCTGTAATGAATACCCTTCCTAAGAAAGTTTAGAAGGCTGTTCAGACTGAGTGTGACATTTGTCAACCCTGTAGTGGATGCGAGTGACCCAGTAAGGCTCTGTACTGAGACGAGGGGTATATCTCACTACATAGGAAAACAAAGAATTCTCTCCAAAATACCGTGGCCAGCACATTCAGAGGTATCAGAATCGCCAACAGGCGGGACCACCTCAAAAAGAACACCCTGCTTTGACAGTTTAGTAACAGAGCAGACTTGCTGTAATTGCTCAACACTGATTGCTGGATCAGAAGAGGAATTTCCAGACTCAGTTACAAGCAGAGCTGGTGCAGGGCTGTGGATCCCACCAGACAGTCTGGAGACAGCTAGACAGGGAGATGGGCAGCAGAGCTCCAAATCAGGCAACAGCACGTGCAGAAGGAGCAGTGACCTATGGGGAGACTCATAATTCATAGACCAAACCTCTTCCAGCAGAGGGCAGTGCCTCAGATATCAGGCGGGACTCAGGCCAGCTGGAGCCAGAGCTGAGGACTTCGCGGGACAGACTGCACCAGCCCGAGGCTTAGGAGAAATTGCACTGTCCTTTGGATACTGTAAGTGACATTGGGGAATACTCAGGGAGAGACACAGTGGGACTTCACACTACTGTAATTTGCCTGTATTCTAAAGTCTAACAACTTGGGATTGGTAATAAATCCTTTTTTATACAGTCTGGGCATTAGGGCTTGCAAGTAAGGGAATCTGGGGTCAACTGAACTCGATTGGCCACTGATTCTTTCAGGATTCTGGGTGCATGCTTGAATAAAAAATGGAGTGACATGCCGAAAATATAATCTGTCTTCTGACCCTGGGGCTCTGTGGATCTGACACAAAGTTTACAAATAGAAAGTTGGCAGAGGGAAAGGTATGTAAGAAGTAACAATTTTATCTAAAAATAGAAACTTAGTGTTTAACAGTAGAGCCCTTTGCTTTTGCATTTCAAAGACTATGAAGGATAGCCGTTAAAACAAACTTTAACTTGGAGGAGCCAGCCATGCAAATTGTGTGCCTGCAGATAATGAAAAGGTTAAAAGTTAGTCTGCAGGCCTAAACAATTTCAAATCAACTCTTCCCTGCTGCGTAGCGGTTGCAGTCAAAACGGGGCAAAGCTGAGTTAGAGCACCATAAAGTCTACTTCTAATCCTGTTTTTCGAGCCCGGTGATAAGAAAGAAAGGAGTGACTTTGGCATTTGCCGGTGGAGTCAAGGCAGATTTGCCAGATGACAAAAGTACTGTGTGTGTTTAATTATTTGTCAGGCACGGCTAAATAAAACACACCATATACAAAATCAGAGCCATTCGTGAGGTCGAAGGCTAGTCTGCACGCGTTTCTTAGAAAAATAGCAAGTGGAAGAAATACCAGCAAAGAGAATCAACTTTCTTGGCTGTTTTATTTTCCCTGCCGCTTCTAGTCCAGGAATGTTTGGAGTCCTCCCGGTCGTTAGATGATGACTGGCCGTCCTGCACCGGCCAACGAGCGGATCGAGTCCTCAGCCCGGGCTGGGGGCCAATGGGACGCGGAGGGGCTTCCGCGGGGTCGGGGGTGGGACTGTCGGCAGCAGCGGCAGGCGGGCGGAGAAAGGAAGGACGCTGGAGGTTCTCAGAGGGGCCCTTTGCCAAGGCCATAGCCCCGAACCGAAACCGTCCCCGGCGGTCTCGGCCGGGCAGGGCGCGGCCCCAGAGCCACCCGGCTCGCCCCGAAGAGGTGGGACTTTCCCCACCGGAAGTGATCCCGTCCAGTCTCGGGGAACTGGGGCACCTCAACCAGTGTGTCAGGGAAACCCTTCCGGGTGTGTG